GACTATACTTTTCTCTAATGAATTACCTTAACACCTTTGCCAAAAATCAATATACCATAAAAGTCTGTTTCTTTTTTCTGGACTCTCAATTCTATTCTGTTTATCTACATGCCTATCCTTATGCCAGTACCACATTGTATTAATTGCTGCAGCATTGTAGTAAGTTTTGAAATTAGGAACAACATTGGTCTTATTTTTCAAGATTGTTTCGGCTATTTGCAGTTCTTTGCATTTCCATACGAATTCCAAGATGAGTTTGTCAGTTTCCACAGAAAAGGCAGCTGGGATTTTGATAGGGATTGCATAGAATAACCATGCCTTACTTTTAGCAAAAAAATTTCCATTTTGACCAGAAAGTCTATGTTTTTCAAGATGCTTGGTAGTAGACTATTCTTGTAAACTGTATTCATTTATCTCAGAATAAAATTAAAGATTTTGCCTCTCTTTTGTAGGACATATCACATTGATAAGTTTAAATTTATTTATGTGAAATAAATACTTGTGTAACTTTGTGAGAACAAGGACTGTGTCTAGTTTGGCTGACCACTGACTGTATCCTGAGCCTAAGCCCAGAGCCTAGTATATAGAGGATGCTCAGAGTTGTAGAGAAATGTGTGCATCTTAGCTAAGAGGCAACAAGAAAAGCAGAAGAGTATATGGTCTTTTGGGGCTTGTCCAAGGTGATGGTCAAGGCATTAGATTATATAGAAAGATCTCAGCTTGACCAGACACAGAAGTACATGCTTTGTATTATTGCATTTATATGAAATGTTCAAAAGTCTGGGGGTGGGAAATATGAAATCACACTAAATGGACACAAGGTTTCTTTTTTAGGTAGATGGGAATATTCTAAAATTAGATTATGGTGATGGTACAATTGTAATGTTACTATCACTCATTAAATTACATACTTAAATGATCCATTTTAAGATGTAATTTCTGTCACAATAAAACTAAAAAAAAGGAAAAAATAACTCCAGCTTGAGACTGGGGTGTCAGTTTCAATTTTTCTCAGGGAAGATACTGCAGATGAGGCAGGTCAAATGGGCTGTTTTTCACCAGCAAAAAGAAAAAGTGGAAGTGGAGTGAATGAAAGGAAGAGTGGGTCTGGACAAAACAGCTGGGACTGAAGCTTCAGGAAAAGGTAATGACGGATCAAAAGCCAAGATTCCTGTCGGGAGTTGGTCTGAAAAAGGGTCCGGGATACAAAGTAGAGAACAGATACTGGGTTGAAAGGAGACCAAGAACTGGATGCTTAGTCCATCTGCCCAGCTCTCGACAGCAAAGAAACAAAGAAGGTCAGGGCTTGCTTTTCAGCAGCACTAGTGGGACCACATTAGAGACCCTCCAGGGCAGGGCTGGTCACCCTGGTGTGAAAAGACTACAGCAGCAGCCAGAGCAGTGTGGCGTCGCGAAAACCTACTTAAGAGCCATCACTTCACCGTTCACCCTGTCAGCCCAGCCGCAGCGATGGCTCAGAAGGGATGGAAGATGATCGATAGTGGCCCCTGACAGATTTCAAGGGAAGGAGTGAATGCTCTACAAATGGCTACAGGTCATGTTGGCTGGGCTGTCAGACTCCCCACCCTGCCCTTGAACGCGATGCTGGAGAGGGTGCATCCCTCATAGTCACTAAGTCTAAATCACACCCAGAGGCTTTCTGGCTTCGAAACTTTTGCTCACCCCAAGCTCAAATTCACCTGGCCTTCAAAACCTGCTTCAATTATTGACAGTGCCAGCCCTGCTATCATCAGCTGACCTGTCTCATGTGCCAAGCAGGCAAGCATTTTCACACCAACCCAGAGAGTTAGGTCAGGACAGGTATCCCCAGTTTATAGATTAGGATATAAACCCAGAGACAGGGATTAACTGACTGAGATCACACGGCCAGTCAGTGGCAGAGGTGGGTGTATTGGGCTTGGGTATAACTCATGCTAAAGCCCATTTTCTCAGACACTGCTGTCCAGTCTTTTCCATGTGAATCTTCAGTAGGCCATCCTCGTCACTGGTCTGATGAAAGATTAATTTCCTACTTCTAAAGGTGGAATAAACATGCAGCAAATTATTTCCCTCCAATTGAGTGGGTACTCACACAGAACAGCAGACAGGCATAGGAATAAAATAAAGACCAGCTCTGTTGCCCCCTGCTTACTAGCTGGAGAGGGAGGGTCCCCCTCACTCTTGCAGCTTGGGGCAGTGGTGGGATTGGGATGGGGTACAGCAGCCTGCGGCCATCAGAGGTGCTTGGCGCCTAGCTGGCATGTCCAGCCACTCAGCCAGCAACCTTAACGCTGACTGCAGCAGCATACACCTGGCAATGCTTTGGGCTCCCCTGGGGAAGACCTCGGGGGCTTTCCCGTTTTGTAGTCAATTGGCCTGATTTCAACCCTTGCAGGAAACAACCGAGCCTTCTGGGTCACAAAGCTCAAGAAATCCACTCAACAACTTTCAGATTATCATCCAAACAATCTCCTTCATGAAATTTAAATCTAACACTTGCACCTCAATTGAAACTAGAATGTTATGATGAAAGCCTACAGGCTGTGAGCAATCTTGGAAAGACTTTGATGCCCATCACCCCAGAGGATGATGGAAAGGATTAAATATAAGGCATTTGCCCTATTTTACCAGAAAGAAGGCTGGCTGAGAGGGCTGAGTGTTCCTGCCACCTTCTTGTATGTTCATACACATGCCATTTAAAAAATTTGTTCATTGAATAACTGAGTGACTCTGTAGTCAGTGGAAGAGGGAAGAAAATGGAAGTATTATTTGTTTCATTTTAGTTATAATGTTGTCTCTTTCCTGTCTAGTTCACTGTGCTGGGGAAGTTTTCCTTGCTATTCCCTGTCCAGACACTAAATTCTTGCCACCCCCTCCAACAGTGCCTCCTGAGGAATATCCCAGAGGATATTCAAGGCCATGGACTTGAATGATATAGACAGAGGTGGTGGTACAAATTAATGGTGCAGAAATAATAAATAAGAGTAGGAATTAAGAAGTCTTCCATCCCTCCCCCTCCTCTCCTCCCCTCATCCCTTTGCAAAACCGTACAGGAAAGCACTGAGGTGGGAAGCCAGGTGCCGGCACTGTGGCAGGGAAGTGACTGATGTTATCATTAGGTCTGAGAGTCCTGTGTCCTTGCTATCCAGCTGTTTCCTAACAACACTTGTTTCCCTTGATTTCTTCTCCCTTTCATAAGAAAGCTCAGTCCAGAGCCTGATTTGCATGGAGGGGTTTTTTAAATTATAACTGATATTTGTGTTTTTTGAAATGCAAGTTTCTTCATATATTGTGCCTCATTATAACTGACTTACATTTATGAGAAGTACATTTTGTAGACAGAACCTTTCAAGCCTTTTTGGAAGACAGTTGCATTATACCTTTATACCACACGAGGGCAGTAGTGTCACATGTAAAAGATGCCTGCCTTCTTTCTGAACAGATGGCACATTTGTTAGATTTCATTGGATGTATTTTTCCTTTATTGAAGCACAGGGGAATTTCACATTTGCAGGTAGAACAGGGGGGAGATAGTTAAAATTTTATACCGTATTTTTATCTCTTTGTTTATGCTGATAGAGGTAGCAAAGGAGTTGATTTATCCCCCTTTTTGCTGTTTTGAGGGATTGTTGTGCTAACAAGCTGGGGTGAGCACTCATTACCACTGTGACCCTGGCAGAAGATGTTCTGTTGATTTTGCATTTAATTGGAAATGTCACAAAGATAATACATAAGCCCATCCTTCCTCCCAACCCTCAATACTTAGATGGGACTTAAATCCTGCTGTTGCTATCAGAAATTTTTTGCATTTAATCTTTCTCCACATCTATTAAGTAGGCAGAATCCAGCCAGCTTTCTCTGAAGATGGAACCGTGCGACCTTCCTCAACCCCATGATCATAGAAACTCTAAAGTGTCCCTTTCACAGATAGGTCTAGTCCTGCTGGGTTCCAGTGTCCCCAGGCCCCTTAGTTTGCAGGAGGTCTTAACTCAGAGCTAACCAGCTGACTCTTCCTAAGGCAGGCCAGTGCAGAGGCTGCGATGGCAGACAGTTCTAGACCTATCCTATGAGCTTACTTGGTTTGTCAGGCCATATGGGCCCACACTGTGTTTAACATTTTTTGAAAAATTAGTTGCCAGCACTTTGATTCCCAGGTTGGGAAAATCCCCTGGAGGAGGAAATGGCAATCCACTCCAGTATGCTCGCCTGGAGAATCCCATGGACAGAGGAGACTAACAGGCTACAGTCCATGGGGTCGCAGAGAGTTGGATATGACTGAGCGACTTAGCATGCACATTCCTTCTTTGTGGCTGTATGTAGTCACTACACACCCAGGTGTCCCCTTTTGCTTACTTGACATTGAGGGAGGTGCAAAATGAAATCACTTTGTACTCTTTTTGTTTCAACAAGAAGGAAAATGAGCATTTAATACCCGTGCCTGTCTCAAAGTAGAAAAATGAAAGATATAGTGAAGGTGCCACGTATCTCAAGAAAAATGAATCTGAACGTGGACCTCCCTGCTTCAGGCAGCACTTAGAGAAATTGCCAGCGCTTTGAATTTCATGCCTAGGAGAGCTTCACACTGGGCAGCTTGCCGCATCCTAGTTCCCCAACCAGGGATTGAACCTGAGCCCCAGGCAATGGACGCCTAATCCTAATCACTAGACCACCAGGGAATTCCCAGGAGAGCTCCGTTTTGGAAGGTGGGCAGACCTGAAGTTAACCTTGGGCAGAACACCTCACTCTGATTGTTTTTAAGTCCCTTTGGTGAAAGTGGAGAGAATCACCTTTAGCTCTTACTACAGCCCTGCGAGGCAGGCGCTAACCTTATCAGGGCGCGCTGCCTGGCACGGACCCGGGAAGCCACCTCCTGGCTCCCGCTTGGTTTCCTCTCGGGAGCAGCGGGGCGTGCAGGCCAGTGATTCGGGGAGCCTGCTAACCGGCACTCTGGCAAGTTGCAGACTGCCTGCCTCCTAACTAGCACTCTAGCAGGGTGCTCGATGGGGCACCTGACGACGCTGGGGGAAGAAAGGGTTAAAGGAGGCGCGGAGCGGGAGAGGAAAGCCTCCGGCCGGGGCTCGACCCGGACTGGCTCACGCCTGTTCCGGAGCCTGGAGGTGGCAGCTGAGCTGCGCGCGGTTCCGAGAGGCCAGAGGGACAGACAGAAAATCCAAGCGCACTCTGCAGAGACAGCGGCAAAACTCCCAAAGCAAACAGCAGAGGAAGTTTGCTTTAGTGGAGACAAACTCACGACTTTGCTCTTTCAAAGCCTCTGTTTACAAGTCAAAGCTGAGGCTCAGGCGGGTTTCCGTGCACTTTCTCACCTCCAGAGATGCCACCAGCGGGCCTGTCGCAACGAGGGGCTAGGATGACCCTACGGGGGCGGCTCTGATGGAGAACACTCTAGACCCCTTGGGGGCCCCCCGGGCTTATCACCCCAGACCAGCCAGGGTCTAATTTGAGAGGAGAGGGGAAAAGCCCTTATAACTGGTGACTTCTAGAGTTGAGCATCACCTGTCGGAGGTAGTGTGAAGTGAGGCTACATCCAACAGGAAATGGACAGGTGTTGTTCTTAGGTAACTGCAGCCGGAACAAATGCAGGACCACGCTGCTCAAAGAATAGAAACCACCGGAGACATACCTCAGGGATGGCGTTGGCTCTGTCACCTGAAAGGTGTCCAACGATATAACTGGATTGAGTGTATCTCTTAGCTTGAAATAAAATAACAGTAGTCTGTCTGGAATAAAAATATGTTGGCTAAAGGTGGACTTTGGTGAATTTTTAAAAGCAATAGCACAGATCTAATGTAACACTGTATTCCAATAAACCTTTTTCTGTGTGGGCAAGTGGGACACAGGTGATCCTCCCAGCCGACCAACAGGGAAGTGGAGATGCAGAGGGTACCAGGGGGAACCATGGAGACTGGCTTCTTGTCCTTGAAGGGTTGAAGGGAAAAGATCTCAGCGATGGTTTAATACCATGGTCCAGCCCAGTGGTTCTGGAGGCAGCTACACTGGTTGGGAACCGTGGCTGAGATACTTTTTGAGTGGAAGTTTGGGCAAGTCATATTCCTTCATCAAGCCTTTGTTTCCAGGGTGCTCGAAAGGGGAGGGCGTCCCTAAGGCCAGGGTGCCAGGCTGGTAAATGGCAGTCTTGGCATTCAGAAGGGAATGTCTGATTTCAGAGCTCTGGCACTGCCAAGGCATACACTACCTTTGAGGTAAATACACACCCCACTCTCCTCTCTAAATTCCCTCCCGATTTAGATGTTGAGCTCTGAGACCCAGTACATCTGATCTTTAATGTTAGGATTCCTCTGTTTGGGAACCTCACACTATCTGTCCATTCAGGCTTCCCAGCTCCATTGTAATCTGATCTTCATTTTCTCAAATGGAATCTTCGACTCTTTCCAACACAATTCCTGGTCAATCTGGACTCTTCTTCATGCCCATTTCTGTGGCCATCCCACTTTCTGTAATACCCTTTCTTCTTCTGAGATGCCTGGTGGGTGGTCTCTGCCCCTGCATTTCTTTACACTATTTTTTTAGGGTGTGCCCTTCGGGCCTCAGTGGACAAATAAATTTGGAAAATGTTTGCTTCTTTAGGTGGAGTTTTGTGCTAATGTGCATTATAAATCTCTCAAAGGATGCTATTGCATGTAGAGTTTCTAAAGTTATCTGGACCTAGGAATTAAAAACTCTTCCTCCCTCCCTCCTTTCCTCTCCCTTTCCTTCTTTCCTCTTTTCCTTATTTTCTCTTTTTTCTTTTAACATTTCACGGAGCCAGAATATCACAGTCCATGTTTTGGAGGTTTCAGGGCCCATTGGTTGAGATTATCATGTTCCTACATAGAGGTAGCCTAAGGCCAGAGTCTGGAACCAATTCTATTCCCAGGCAGAATGTAATGAGGGCATCTAAATTAGTTCTGCTGTTGCTTTTCTGGAAACTCACGTTTTATGTCTAGATTTGTACTCTTACTATCTTACCTGGTGACTCAGTCCTTGTCTTATAAGACGTTCCAGTAAGGGAACCCCTGCTTTGGTCCCATGCTCATTATCCCCATTCCTTTGACCTTATTTGTCACTCTAAGGTCTGCCCTCAAACTTGACTCTGTATGGCTAGACTGCCTCCAAGACACCTGCTTACGTCTCCACCTTGTCTTTTAGTTTGCCTTCTCCCTGTGAGCCTATTGGATATCCCAGCCTTCCCTCTTAGTCCTGTGACTCGTTGATCCATCCTCTCTCTTGGCCAAGTGTTTGGTATGATTTACCTGTTGAAGACTTCAGGCTCTGGGATCAGATAAACTGAGTTCTAATTTCAGCTCCACCCTAAGAATTTCAAACCCTTGGGTAAGTAATCCAATTTTCTCATCTGTAAGGCAGAGGTAACCCCCTCATAGAGTCCCACGAAGGGGTAAGTGAGACAGTGCATATAAAGGGCTTCTCATACTGCCTGTTACAGAGTGAGGGAGCAGGAACTCTCAGCTACCCTATCCTCTAAGTCCCAAGACACCCTCGGGATGATACGATTTAGCCCAATTTAGCCCACCAGGCTTTCCTGGTGGCTCAGATGGTAAAGAATCTGCCTGTAATGCAGAAGGCCAGTGTTCGATCTCTGGATCGGGAAGATCCTCTGGAGAAGGAAATGGCAACCCCTCCAGTATTCTTGCCTGGAGAATTCCATGGACAGAGGAGCCTGACAGGCTACAGTCCATGGTGTCGCAAGAAGTGATACAACTGAGCAACTAACACTTTCACATCAATTTTCCCTTCATCCCACACTAGGCTGTCTCTGGCTCTGACTACTTTCCAGTTAGTATCTCACTTGATTTTGCTGTTTCTTAGTGATAGCTCCCCAAACTAAATTTGGGCTTAATTAAACAAGACGTGGATAATTTCAGATGTACCATAAATAGAATAACAGCATGGATCCTCCTGGACCTGTCACCGGACTAAGCCTTTCATGATAGTTCCTTTTACTTTGTTTTGACGTTGTATCTAACATTGTTCATTCCAGGGAAGTCATGACCTCGGCCCTGACTGAGCAAGAGTGACCCCGGTGTGTGAGGCTCTGTATAAGGCTGTTTCTACTCAGTCTCTCTTGGAGGGTGGGGGCCATCAAAAGCTCTCTTTTCTCTATTTTTCTAAGGGCTGGAGAGATGGAAAAATAGCCACCTACTGTGTGACTTCTTGCAAAATACACTTCATTTTCCAGAGCTAACCTTCCCTGCCTCTCTTTGTGGCTCTTCAAGGACTTGAACTGTGTTTAGTTCCTTCTTGTATCCTTAGCCTCTAGCTGTGTGTGCATGTGCGCTCAGTCGTGTCCGACTCTTTGCAACCCCGTGGACTGTAGCCTACCAGGCTCCTCTGTCCATGGGATTCTCCAGACAAGAATTCTGGAGGAGGTTGCCATCTCCGGGGATCTCAGGGCTAAATCTCGCCCTTCTCCCCCACCCCCTCCCCACACTGGGTGATTGACATCTGGGGATAGAGCACATTGACATCTGTTGAACAAAATATAAACTTTGTGCGGGAGGGAACACCATCCTCCATCTATTAATGCAGCGGCAGACAATGTCTCTGGCAGCAGATGTCTTATGCTGCAATTCCTCTTGATGGCACTGGAGCCTTAAATATCGTCCCAAGTCCAGTCTCTCACATTCTAAATCCTATTATCTAGGTTAGCTCATCTGTATTCAAAAGATCAATGTTGCATTATTACAAAGATCCTTTCAAGTGTAAAAAGGATGGCACTTCATTACAGAAAGTAAAAGAAACTAATCAAACTTTCTTGGTGAAATCATTGACTTTTTAAAGTAAAGGGCAAATTTAAGAATTTGAAAGTCCGAGATGGGAGAGAAGTCGGGGGTTTGGGCTTGGGACGGCATGCGTCTGGTTGCAGTACGTGGGTCTTGGGTAACCTAAAGAAGAAAGAGGCTATCTTGAAAGAGTCTCAGTGCTTGCAGCTGTTCTCGTTAACTTCTGTCATTGCTTGGTTGTGTGTCTTGGAAGAAATGAGCCGCTGGTGGAAAGACTCAAAGAGACAAGCCACAATGCGTAGTATACAGGTAGCACGTGTATTGACCGGGTTAATAGAAAATGTGAGAAAGCCAACGGTAAATACTGTTTATTCACCATCTTAACTCTTCTTGCAACAGAAGAGTTCCTGTTTCTTATCATCCATCACCAGTTGGGTTCTGTGGGTTGCGTGTTAACAGGCAGGGTGTTCAGTAGGAAGAGCCTTTCGGATCTGTGGCTGGAGGGAGAGGAAGCGGGACAGGGTGGGTGGAGAAATCTGTGCATAAGCCCACCCAAGGGATGAGTTCAGTCTTCCCTGAGGAGGGGAGAGCCTGCCTGACAGTCCTATTGTAAGTAAACTGCCCCGGAAAAAAGTGCTCGAGTTTAAGCAAGACAGTGGTCTTCCAGTTGGGGTAATCCCATAAGCAAGAGGATAGCTGAGGGCTGTCTGCTGGCAGCACACCCAGGAGCCTGAGTTAAATTCCCTTTATTTCTGGAAGCAGGGTCCCAGCGTCCCAGTGTCTCACCACTCTTAAGAACTTAGAAGAAAACATTTACTGACCAGGTACCAGGCCCAAGAGAGATACTGGGACTTAAGGGTGATGAATAAGGAACAGTCCTTGCCCTCAAGGTAGATTTTTGATCAGCCTCTTCTTGCCAGGATTTGTTGACTGTTACGATATGCCAGAAATGGTTCCAAACACTCTACTTGTGTTTGCTAATTTAATCACTGAGCCATATGAGATAGCTAGAGCTCTTATCCTCATATCATAGATGAGGAAACTGAGGCAGGCAGAGTAAGCATCTCAGCAGGCTTTTCTCAGATGCCCTACGGCCTGCTGTTACACTGCCTCCCAGATGGTGCCATTTCTGTAAGATCAAAGCTATTATTCATCATGTTATAACCTGTGTCTGAGCTAACTATAATGTTTGCTTACAGAAAGACGTTTAGGGTGGCTATTACCTTAGAGCTACACTGCCCATTAATGGTAGCTACTAGTCACATGAGTCTTTTGAGCATTTGAAATGCAGAAAGTCTGAACTGAGATGCTGTTCAGTGTGAGATGGGACGCCCTGGTGGATCCGATGGTGAAGAATCTGCCTGCAATCCAGAAGACCTGGGTTTGATCCCTGGGTCGGGAAGATCCCCCGGAGAAGGGAAGGGCTACCCACACCTGTATTCTTGCCTGCAGAATTCCATGACAGAGGAGCCTGGCGAGCTACAGTCCATGGGGTTGCAGCGTCGGACACCACTGAGCAACTAACACTTTCACACTTTCGGTGTGAGATACATACCACATTTCAAAGACTTACATGGAAAAAGAATGTAAAAAAATCTCATGAGACATTTTAC